CCACGCGCTGCGGGGTGCAGCGCGGCGGAGGCGCACCGATCCTAGGCCCCCGACCGCGATAAAAGGAGGGGAAGGGGTGTGAAAGCAGCCTCACCCAGCAAACCACCTAGAAGCAAAACGGAAAGGGGCGCAAAAACAGACGGCTACAAAATCCAAGCAAAGCAGAAAAAAAGCAGGGTACGAGAAGACGGAGAGGGGGAGGGGGCCGCCCCGAAATCCGAGAGGCAAAGAGGCTGTGGAACGCGGCAGGTGGCTGTTCGAAGCTCCTCCGACCGGCGAAGACCGCCACACCACTGGTGGCCCCGTCGTGGGGGTGGGGTAGGGACACGCAGTTCGGGGACAGCCAGGCACAAATTAGGTTCCCCCAAGCGGAGGCTCCGCTCTTCAGCAGTGCGGGGCCCGCGGTCGCTGCTCTCGGTCTTTATACTCTGTGATTCTGAGGGTGCCCGCCCCCTTCCCACCCCAGAAGGCCCGCCTCCTCGACTCTGGGCCTCATGGTTCTATACATATGCAAATCTGGAGAGAGGGGTTGGCCCCGCCCCCTGGCGCCTCTCTGGGACCTGGCAGTCTCTTCCCTAACCCCCACCTGGTACTGGACTGAACAGGGTGGCAGGAGAAGATAGAGGGCGTGTCTATGTGGAGGAGAGAGAAAGATAACCCCAGAAAGACTGGAGAGGCAAGCAGATACTGCGCAAAGGTGGAGGCCCAAGCAGGGAGTTAGAAAGAGACTGAAGTAGATGTGCTGTGAAAGACCCTGGGAGATACAGCCCGGCAGGGGTGGCACAAGCTTGTAATCCCAGTTTTGAGAGGCTGAGACAGGAGGATCAAAAAGTTCGAGCCCAGATTCTGCAAGTTGGTGACTTGGCCATACCCTATCTCAAATTTAAAAACGGGGGAAAAATTAAATCTTCTGGGGATGTAGCTCGGTGCCAAGGTCCTGGGTTCAATTTCCACTACCAAAAAAACAAAAAAGTTTGGGATACAGGGCAAAACGTGGGGAGGACCAGAGAAAGACTAAGAAAGAACAAACCAGCTTGGATGCTGGCCCAGTCAAAATGGAAGCTAGAACAAGCCAACCCACCACAGGCTCACCTCTTTCTCCAGTCCCCATAGCCTCTCATCAATCTCATCTAGTTCTCTCCATGAACATCTTCCACATCTCCCAAGCCCTCCCAACACCACATCCCCAGGAATAAATGTCTCTGAGCATGCCTATTTCTCATCTCCCGCGTGAACTGAGCATCTGCTAGAGACACTGTGCTGCTCCAGCCGGCAGTCCAATAGCAAGACCTCTAAATATCACATTAAAATCATTATTCCTACTTCTTTTCATCTTTCATCAAATTTTGTCACTTTTTCTTGGAGAGGTTTTTCTCCTCCTTTCAACCCTCACCCTATCCCCCACCTCCATTCTGGGAACCCAGGACTTATACACTGAGCTACATTCCCAGTGCATTTTTATTTTATTTTTTTAATTTTGAGGCAGGGACTCGATATATTGCCCAAGGTGGGCTAGAATTTGCACTCCTCCTGCCTCAGGTTCCTAGAATGGTGGGACTACAGGTGTATTGCACCACACCCCGATCATAATTCCTTTGGCTTTCAGTCCTTCCTTCCTTACTGAGTTTGGAAGCTGAAGATGGAAAAATGTTAATTTTAAAAATTAAAATGTCCAACTAGGGATGTAGCTAAGTCATAGAGCAGTTGCCTGTGGAATGTGAGAGGCCCTGGGTTCAATCCCCAGCACTATCATAAAATTAAAGCATCAAGCCAGGTAGTGGTGCACACCTGTAATCCCAGCAATCGGGAGGCTGAAGTAGCAGGAGCACCACAAGTTGGAAGCCAGCCTGGGCTACATAGTGAGCTCAAGGGCAGCCTGAACTACATAGCATGACCCTGTTTAAAAAAAAAAAAAGACTAAACTAAACTAAAGCATTAAATTAGCAAAGAAAAAGCACCATAAATAATTGAGTGTGGAAGAAAGGAAAACATTTTATATTTTAGTGCCTCTAATACATATTCTTCATGAGGTGTGTGTGTGTGTGTGTGTGTGTGTGTGTGTGTGTGTGTGTGTGTGTTGCTGGGGATGGAACCAGAGCTTCTTTTTTTTTTTTTGGCTTTTTGAGACAGGGTCTCCCTAGGGAGTTGAGGGTGACCTGGAACTCACTATGTAGCCCAGGCTGGTCTCAAACTCACAGTGATCCTCCTGCCTCAGCCTCCCAAATTCTGGGATTATAGGCATGTGCCACCACACCCAGCTCCAGAGCCTCTTTCATGATAGCCAAGCACTCAATTACTGAGCTACCTCCCTAACCCTTTTTATGAATGTTTAATTTGGGGATAGGGTCTTGCTAATTTGCCCACGTGGGCCCCAAGTTGCACTCTTCCTGCCTCATTCTCTCAAGTAGATGGCATTACAGTGTGTGCTACCATATCTGGCTCTTCTAGATTTTGAATAAGGGGCTACATATTTTCATTTTGAACTGAATCCTGCAAATTATGCAGCTGGCCCTGTTTCTGTCTATTCTGCAACATATTCTGGATTTTTCAAAATACAGCTTTAGTGGGTGAAGCTTCAGTGGTAGAGCACCTGTCTAGCAAGTCTGAGGTCCTGAGTTCAATCCCCAGCACTGCAAAAGAGAGGGAAAAAATCAAAATAAAACTTTAATTAGGCCACTCCTTAGCCCAAAGATCTTCAATGGTTCCCTGTTATCAGCAGAATGGAGTCCCATTTATTCAGTCTGTCCTGCAGGTCTACATCTAGCCTGTGTCCCTATCCTTTGTTCTTCCTCTGCTGGAGCTGAGCTGGCCACTGCCTGGATAGACTATGCTTACCCTTGACTTCATATCTTTATCTTTGTTCATTTCATTCTGTCCTCCTGCAACACTGCCCACCCCTCAGAGGCCAGCCCAAATGCCATCCATTCATGCAGTGCATATCTAATCACATTTAATTGTGGAGCCAGACATGACCTGGTCCCTGTATTCCTGGGACTCTCATTTCAGGAGACAATAAAAATAAGCAAACAGCTGGGCATGGTGGCACACACCTGTAATCCCAACACTCAGGAGGCTGAGGCAGGAGGATTGCAATGAGTTCAAGACCAGCCCGGGTTACATTGTGAGTTCAAGGCCAGCCTGAACTTAAT